GAAGGAAGAATTGCCTACTATTCAAGAATGGACATTGAAAGTAACAAACTTAGCCAATATGGCCAAAATATCTGGATATCTTAAGGACCATTCAAACGAGAGATACAAACTGGACTGGAAAAGATGGAGTGACTATACTCAAAACAAATATGGGACTAAGAAATTTCAGATAGCTTATGATTAGAGACCAGGAATTATAAATTGTCTAGAGCTAGTCCAACAAGGAGGAGCTAGAGCTCAATTGAAAGACGTTATCAACTATCCTTTTTGGTTTTTTAAAAACTGTACCTTAGATTCTCTTTGTTAAAGATTTATACCCTGTATTGGTTCTGGGAAGATGGGGAGAGGGGGAAGGTTGGAGGGGTTGAGGGGAAAGGGTGGGGGGTGGGAAGTAAACATTTGCAAAAGTTTGTTTTTTCAAAAATGCTCAATAAAAGAAAAGAAAATGTGTAGTGAACACATAGATCCATAAAGGAATAGAAAAAATGAAGAAACAGAGAAGTGTAATTAAGATCATTACTAAAAGTCTTCCCCGTTTTAACTGTTTAGGTTTAAGATATATTTTGATAAACAGGATCACAACAGAAATTGTGATCAATGGAAAGGAAAGCACAACAGTCACCAGTAAATAGACATCCTGGATAAATGCATATTGAAATACATATTCCATAATGTTTGGAATTCCAACCAGGAGGAAAGAGAAGATCCAGAGGAAGGAACACACAAGAGGGGACAAATTCTTTGGTCGTGAATAGCGATGCCAGATTGGGAAGAGGACAGAAACACACCGGTCAATGCTGATGACTGTCAGAAGAAACACTCCAGTAATGCACATGATGCTGGAGAAAGAAAAAAAGAATAAATCAGACATGTCTGATTCATCTGCAAAAAGAGAAACTGAAAAAATAGCCACAGATAGAAGGAATCCAAAGTCAGCAACAGCTAAATTAAGAATCAAGACAATGAAAGGGGTTCGCTTAACCTGGAAACCAAGTATCTGGATAACAATTCCATTTAATGGGAGTCCAATACAGCAGACGATCAGTGTGGCTGACAGTATGATACGTTCGGAATTGATGGGCGCATTTTGGTTCTCATCCAAATCATCTGTATAGCCAGACGCAGAATATTCTTCTGTATCATCATTGTATTTCAGGCTGAAATTCATCAAGAGACTTATGTAATGCTCCAATAACCTCTTCTTTTGGAATGGAAGTTCCTATTTGGAAAAAGAAGAAAGCAGTCAAGATTTATTACTTCTCCATAATCATCATTTCTTCCCCTCTATCTTATCTCCAGGTACCCTGAGAAAACTTTTTGACCTCTATGAATAGTAATATTAAGAATTACGACAGATGAAGAGTCCCTCTCCCATAAACAATAAAATGAGGCACACTTTACAGAAATCCATACCAAATCTGTCATCGCCTGGGTCAACAAGAAGAAGGACACAAGATGCTGGAGCTTCTGGAATCTGGTTCCACGTAGGCTAAAGGATTCAGGAATGTTGGCTGAGCAACCAGGGCCAGCAGCTGTAGGGCTAATGGAACAAATGTTTTTACTAGTCACAAATATGCAAAGACTGAAAGCAAGTAATTTTTGCAATAAGGTTTTTGTTAGAAGTAAGTGATGCCTTGGGTGCAATCCCAAAACATCTGGCATGCCACATAAACACCATCAGCATTGATAAGGACATCCAATTGTACTTCCGGCACCTTCAGAAATGAATACTGTGAGTTTGTGGCTCTGCTCCGACCTCTCCTCGTTGGAGGGCTCAAATTGAGCCATAGCCACCCTGGAGGAGTGGTGAAGTTAAGGGGGACAGCCTAGCAGGTCAAGGAGAGCCACATCTCTCCAACCTGACTAGGAAAGCCCCCTCATCCAAAGATGAGGAGCAGCAGAAGCAAACATGACTGCCTAAACACCTAAGACTGTGCTGGAAGTAGAAAGTGAGTGGTGTGTGAACTGGGTGAAAGAATACTTTCTATTGAAAAATGACCCCAAGAAATCCAAGGGGGAAGCAAATTTAAACAGTGGTGGGTTTCCATTTTTTTTACTACCGGTTCGCTTGTGTGTGAACGGAGCCTCCCCCGCTGCCACTACTGGTTCCTCCTATCCTGGCTGAACCAGCAGAAAATCCACCTCTGATTTAAAACCATTTGCTAGCACTGAATAACCATGTTAAAATAATACCA